AACAAAACCATCCTTCCAGACGGAAGCATCTTGAAAACTGAAAATGGAGATGGGAGCAGCTTCTAACGCCTTGGCTATCCCTCCTCCTTCTCCTCCTTTCTCTGTCCTGGGAAAGGATAATAGCAGTGAATGCACAAGTCTCCTGGAGAGCAAGAGGAATAAAATTGCCCATCAGTTCCATGGCCAAAGAGGGATGAGACAGAGGAGACCTCACGTATGTATGAGTGTGACTTTCCACTGTTGAGGTGATCCAAACATACATACTAGCCGGACACACAGTTACACCTTTCAACGCCTACGGCCTAGAATTATGTTTTTTAAAATAGAAAGCAAAGCCAAATAATGAAAGAAACATCCAGTGACTTTATTAATTACATAGATTTTTATGGCAAATGCATAACTGATCATATTTCATAAAAATTAAATGATTCTTTTTTTTTTGGCACTGAGCTACATCTAATGTTCTCCAGATATAATTCCAATGATAGCAGAAATTAACTCTACAAACTCTGGACAGCTATGGCTGACTTTGCTACACTGTTCTCTTGCTTGCTGCTGCTGGACCCTCACGAAACTTCACTTACAAATCTGAAATTTCTTGAAGCTCGAATTGAGCTGTTTATAAACTAGAAGCTCACTCTGACTGCTACCTCCTTTGTCCTTACAATAATGACAATATTTTCCTTTGAGGTTCCTTTAATTATGAATCTAGAAAAAAAAATGCATAATGACTATTCAGGCTCAATTATACATAGAAAAAAATTAGAATTCATAATGACAACAACAGAATAGTGCAAGTTCTTTTGCCTCACACACTACGGGAGCGGAGGTCTGTAACAAGGCAGCCCAGAATACAATTATAGCTACGAGGGTAGGAATCTGTATTGTTTTTGCAAGACAACACATGCACCGGTGAGTAAACACGAGAGGCAGGCAAGCTGCTAGCAGGAGAGCATCAAGCTGTCAGTGGCACCACGGTATTATCCGCAGTTGCATCCCGAAATGAAGACAGGCTTATTGTCCCCGAGGCACAAATAAAACTTTTCAAGCATATTATGAGAAGTAACAGAGAATCCAGCAGGCTATCAGGCTGCAAGAGACGTTTGAAAATAATACATTTTTTCCCCCTTGTGCTTGCCTATGGTCATCAGGAAATGCTCAATAACGACCAGTCATTGTAGAGTTATTCTACATCTGCTGAATAGGAAAATCGAGAGCCCAAATGTCCCCACGGCAAGGCTCCAGGCCTGAGGAGCGCAGGCCTGCAGCTGTGTGGCACTTGGCAGTTGTTGCCAGCTCTCCTTACTGAGTCACTCACGCTCACCCATCATCACCAGCGCAGCTTCGGGTGTAACGCTGAGAACTATCTATAGAGAAAAATAATGTAAAATCCCAAATAAACCCGCAGGCCTCATTCCAGCTGTCTCCTTGAGTTATTTTAGTGTCAAAGTCCCTGCTAAGATTTTGACAGCTTGTCTGTATAGCAGCAGACAACGTGAGGGCATCCTGGTCACGCTTGATTTTAGGAATCATTGATACAGTAACGTGAGGAGATGGCGCGCGTCGGTG